ATATGTTACTCCATTTTGCTGTTAATGATTTTCCGTAGGCAGTTAGATTTGTATTAGAAAATAGACTTGGATCATTTTTGTACGAGGACACTAGATAAAAGCTTGAACTGCTTAGCCTTCAGTAGAGCTAGCTTTGCATAAAATCATAAGCCTGTATATTGCCAGTTGCAATAAGCCTTCTAGCGACCTTTATTTACTTAGTACTAGCAACAGAAGAGTATCAAAACTAAGACAGTCAGTGAGAGATCGACTTGTGGGAATACTCTATAAATAACAAATCGGGATGGCAAAGAAACGGTAACACGGGTCTGTTCGGCCATCGCCAATGGTAACGCTGAGTTCGGAACGAGAAACGCTGGTTATTACTGTGGCGTCTGCTGTTAAGCAGGAGTCCTAGGGGATCCATCGTATAGGATCGTTCGCTCTTATTATTCCGACTTTTCCCACTAAGATAGCAGCTTATTTATACCATATGTTCTTACAATAGCGCCAAACAGCATACATCATCCGAATAGAATAGAACCGAATATATAAGGCATAGGCAATACGTTGTACGTACTCCAAGATCCAGGCCAAACGCACCAAAATATCAGTAGCGTATGCTAACGAATAAGACTTTAATACTAAGTATTATGGACAAGCGGAGGAGCAATAGATCGTGTTATATATATATATATATATATATATATATATATATATATATATATATATATATATATATATATATACTGTCTCTCGGCGATCTGCTCATTGAAGTACTCGTATTACCGACCTGCTTCCGCCCAAGGGTTGCATGATCGGGTACGAATGTAGATAATGTTACGACTCGATACGTTACGGACGCACATAGTTGTTAGATACCTACTATCTTATCAGGAACGATAAATCTGTTGTTGACAAATTTCCTATATATTTTATTCCTTCTTACAACAACTAGATACAGGTTAATTATACAAACTGCAAAACCGCTATCGCTCGGCTTAGCGCGTTTTTTACAATTTCCTTATCTATCAATACTTGAATTTTAAATTTCGGGAAGCTTCAATTTTATCTAGCCATGTCTTCGATGGTTGATCATTTATACCGTTCGACAGATACAGGAAAGATACGTGGAAGTCTGCCTGATTTTTTTCTACTGCTCTGCTTCTTGACATGACGAAGCTGAACTTAACCTTCTGTAACGTTTATGCATCTATGATACGCTATTATAGCTTTCCGTGCCTTACAGAACCTTCGAAAGGCATTGTCCGCTTCATGCGCTCTATTGTTGCAACTGGCGTATAGCTGAACTATGTGTGGAATGTTCTGATTACGCCAATGTTAATTGTTTTGTTCAGGTTTTCTTTCCCGTAGCTACAGCACGGCCGCTTCACCGTTAATCATAACTTGATACGGTGTGCTTAATTCATGTGAAATTTCCGACTTCGCCAAGACTCCTCCCGATACTACGCTAAAAAAATGGGTCCGACAGTTTGAAACCCCATGTGTCAACTAGCGAGTATAAATCATAACCTTGTCATTTCAGTGTTGGAATATCGGCACGTAGGGTGGCGGGTTCTCTGCTTTTTTTTTCTAAAAGTTTTAACAACGATGGAGATCACCACGAACTAATAAATCTTACAAGAATTTTTCCCCAAGCTCCATTCAGAAATTCCCATAAATGAACTATTTATTTCGGAGTATTAACACACGTCGAACGCAAGATGTCGAGTTAGACAAAAAGTTGGTTTTTGAATGTTAGCTGCATCTGGCGAAATTTTGATCTCTGCAGCTCTTAAGCACATATTGACACACGTTCTGTAAGTTGAACAAATAGCAAACACATTAAATTGCCGTTTGCAAGATAATTTGAATTATTCTTGTGCCTAAGTCAAATAATGCGTAATACCGCGACTTCTTTCATATAAAATACTACCAGTTTATTATGTACTTCCTGGAAAATTAGTTTTTGCGGGAATCGGAAGAGGATATCGCTGTTTTGATGTACACTTGGCTTCAATGTCTACCAGAATTGTGTTAACCTGCGGTCCTGCCGAAGCAGCTGCTTGCGTATCGACGATGATTGTCTGAAATAACCTTGAATCAACCTCCGTTGAAATAGCTTGTAATTTTAATCCCTCTTTAATACCACGTGGCCTTCCGCTTTTTCTGTGAATTCGCTTCTTTAAATACCGGCCAAAGCAAATGCAGTGAAACTCTTACGCCATCGGGAAATCGGCGTGACTCTATCGGTGAAGCAATAACTAGCAAAGCATCACAGACGTTCATGAAGCAGCAAGCGGCTTGATTAACTCGAAAGCCACGAAGACTTGATTGAACGACATCAGCTTTCTAGTGTCATTGAACACTTTTTTGTATCCCACAAACAACACCAACCGTTGTCATAGAAGTTTGTATAGTGTATTTGCATAAATCAAATGTTCCGGTAAAAGCTCCGACAGAATTACCAGTTCGAGGAAGGCACTCACATCTTTGGCATTCGTACCCATCCATCATCGCTTCCATACATTCAGAAAGTACATGAAATTCAATTTTGACTTCGGTGTTGATGATATTGTAATGATCGCTAGGGACAGTTAAGACCCTATTTAGTGTAGTGTGTTGTTTATAGTTTTCAACAACGACTTCAATGTAGCCAGCTTGCATCGTTGTGAGTTTGACTTGTGGTCAGGTCACTGTCCCGTTGCTTCGCAGCGTGTTCTACCGGCCGAGTTGCAATACTTGACTTTATTTTACCTGTAGATCTCGTCGCTTGGGATTAGCAGTACTCCATGAACTTATCGGGAGAGATATTACAGAGCGTCCTATACAAAAGCAAAGAGGTCTGCATTGATTCAGAATTAGCAGAGTTTGAGTGCCTCTTTTGGGTTATATAAGCAAGCTATATATATATGATCGTGCTTGCTACCAACCGACAGCTTCCCATGGTTACGATTTCTAAAGAGCGAAGTGTGGCGTCAAGATGTGTTGAACGACTTTCTAAGTGCGGGCCAAATCGTCTAGCGATGACTGTGGGTCTGAACAAGCTAAACCCTGTGGTTTTGGGCCAAGCCTGTTCATTCGCCCCTTTAAAACATGCCAGTGGGCTGGAATGTATGAGGTATCACTTGACCTTTATTGGATTCTCTGGAGCTTCTTTTAAAGCATTTTGTCAAACCATGGTCTCGAGTCATTATTCAATACCTCCTCGTTTTCTGTCTCCATTTCCTTCGAATACCAGCCTCCTATCCCTTTCTTGAAGCTTCTTTAGCCCCACTATAACGTCCTAGCACCTGGTGACATCTTTCGATGCCGCCAGATCCGTTATCATGTATTCCACCAATTCCTTGATTGCTTTCTTTCTAGTTCTAGGCCTCCCCCTTAACTCATCTAGAGCCTCACAACGTGAAACTGTGTCTTTTACGTTATCCTCCTTTCCGATGTCGCAGAGAACGCGTTATATATGTGTAAATACGGGTTTTTCTTATTTTCACCATATAGTTTTGAAGTTGTGCGTGGCGGTCCGATACTCGCGTAGCACTCGCGGATATCTGGTGTCAGACTTTTGGTCCAGCTTTTTTTTGGTCATCCCCTTAACTCTCGCTCCTTTCCAAACCTCCTACAAGGTATCAGCGTGGGCCTGTCTGGTCACAGTCGACTCCATATTGCTGTCCAGGCGTAGCAAGTTCCTCTCCCTCACTAGATACAATTGCATCTGGTACATTTCAGTGAGCCTGGTCTTCACTGGAAATTCTGCTGACCATATTGTTTTTCACTGCTTCTTCACAGCAATTCGTTTTCGATTCAAGAAGTAGGCAGTTTCCGTCTCCAAGGTAGGATTGCAACGTACATGAATTT